TACCCCCCCTAGGAGAGCAGGGGCCGCCAGCGGATGGTTCGCCAGGACCAGAGGCAGTTGCAGCCCTTCCCAGCAGGGGCCCCCCTTTTTCCCCCCCCCCCTCCCACCTCCCCCCCCCTCCCCCCCCCCCTCCTACCCCCCCCCCCTCTCCCCCCCCCTCCCGCCCCCCCCTCCCCCCCCCCTCCCCCCCTCCGCCCCCCCCTCCCCCCCCCCCCCTCCCCTCCCCCCCCCCCCCGCCCCCCCCCCCTACCCCCCTCCGCCCCCCCCTCCTCCCCCCCCCTCCCCCCCCCCCCCCCCTCCCCCCGCCCCTCCCCCCCCCCCCCCTCCCCCCCCCTCCCCCCCCCCCTCCCCCCTCCCCCCCTCCCCCCCCCCCCCCCCTCCCCCCCGCCCTCCCCCCCCCCCCCTCCCCCCGCCCCTCCCCCCCCCCCCCTCCCCCTCCCCCCCCCCTCCCACCCTCCCCCTGCCCCCCCTTCCCCCCCCACCCCCCCTACCCCTGATGGGCTGGCTCCACCCTACGATTCTTGAACCCCACACCCAAAAAACCCTAAACCCCAAAGCGTGAACCTTGAGCCCTAAGCCCTCAATCCTAAACTGACCCTCAACCCTAAACCCCAAACCATAAACCATAAACCCGGAACCCTAAACCCTAAACCCTAAACCCAACCCTTATTGCTTGGGGCCCAGCAACTTGGGCGCTCCGGAATCACCATGCTCACGCGGATGCGCTGGGCCGGGCCGAGGCGGGTCGCGTAGCGTTAAAATTAGACGAAATCTGACATTCATTTATCAAAATATACAGAAAAATATGTAAACAAATAATTCACTAAATATATACACATACAACATAGTTTTCATATACATGCAAGGAACATGTCTGTTTTTGCGATTATTCTTCTCCAGACAAGAGAAGGATCAAACCAATGCCCAACTTTCGGTTCTCGTGGGGATGAAAACTCCTAGGTGCGTAGCACAACGAAGCGATACGAAACAGCTAACCTGTCGCCAATCCCGCATGGATGTAGAAAGCTGGGCTGCTCACGCACCCAGGCTTGTACGGAAACCTCAATTCAGCATCCGATTTGGCAACGAAGGATGTTTAGGGTTCAGGGTTTAGGGTTTAGGGTTTAGGGCATGTACATGATGTTGAAGCTATGTGGGTCAGGATTTTTTTCTTGCAGTGCATATCGGCTCATTTTGCGACTGTAAATCTTGCAAACCTAAGACTGCTGTGCGCTCATGAGCATGGGCAGGTTCGGCCGAGTGTCTCAATTTGATTCCACCTCTCTCCATCCTCGCCTGAGAAAACAAGGAACTACAAGCAGGCAGAGTGTTGGGCGGTTTCCATGAGTTTCCTTGCAGTTCAATATAGCTTGAACCCTCCACTCGTCCAAGGAGCGGACTGATGTCGAAAATCAACTCCCACCTGCTTTGAATGATCTGTGACTCTGGGTTCGCATGCCAACATACTCTTCCATGACATGTACTGGCATCATCGATGACTGTGCTCCATCTGCTTGCATGGGATAAAGTCGTGCCCGACGTTTGCCTAAACGTGGTGGTTGATGCGAAGGGGCCATACCTGCAAGTTGCCCGTCTCTGTTTCCGGAGTGCTAAAGGTGCAGTTTGTGGTGGCTGCTACATCGTACAGTCTGAGCAGACGCACTCAAGTTCGCAATGTCAGAGTCGCGGTCAGCGGAAGTCACTTTGTCAGACGCGGCTGCATCAACAGCCATCTGGGTGTCGGATTATTTGGGGGGTGTACGATCATAAGAGGCCCCGAATCTAGACCTCCAAAAAGTAGGATTCCCTTATAATAAGGGCGCAAATAAAGGTACCCCTAATATCGTAAACCCCCATGTAAGTATACAGCTCGTAAAGCTCAGCGCCGTGCGAGTGACCGATGCCCACCGGGTACAGAGTCGCGTGTGCCTCGCAGAGCCAGAAAATGGAAAAACCGCCTTCGTAGCTGCCTCAAAATCACTGGAATGTTTCTGGGACTGATGTTTAACTCAGCAGGACTTGGGTGAGGCCTCATGGGAAAGCAACATCATGTGCAGACATCCTCCTCGTTCTGGCAACCCCCAAAAGCGCAACAAAAATGTCAACCGCCACTAGCACCCTTCGCACGCTGTGAAACCTGCTGCGAAGGTGCCATACAGGCGACAGTCCGCAATACGTCAAGGCGCCGATGCTCTGCTGACATCAGCATGGTTTGCTCGTGCAGGGGTGCGAGCATCACAAATACTTGATGGCTGGTCATGCTGTATGCAGGAGGCCTTGGGCACTACACAGGTTCTACAGTTTTACACGCTGCCAACGAAAGCGAACCTGTCCACCGAACTGCAAAGATGGGTGCCTGTTGCACAGCAGTAGCCACACGGTCTTCCTCAGCAGATCGGAGCCAAGGTCCACGAAATGCCATGATTAAACATCGCTCTTGGCTCAGCAAGTGAGGAGCTACTGAAGGCTCTGTTGCTCTCATCTTTTGTTTTTTCCTCATTGAAATTGTGGGCCGATCTCTCCAGCATTTTTTCTGAATCACATCACACACACACACACACACATCCGACGATTTCGCAGCGACTCTTGCTCGGTAGAGGTCTCTCTGCTGCCAGGCTGCAAAAGATCCTGGCCTCGACTCCAGAACATTGTTCAACCGAGGTAGCCTGGAGGAGAGGCCAAGTTTGCAAGCTTTGCCAGGAGCATCGTGTAATGCTGTGCAAGAGGAAGTTCGGAAGGTGGGACAGGAATCCAGGAGTTTTCAGACTCAATCTGCAGTCCTGGCAGGGCCTACTCTACTACTCGCGGCTCTGAAATAGATGCATCTCAAGCTGCAGCCATTGTATTCTGAGCTTCGACGATCCGAGATCTCTCTCTCTCTCTCTCTCTCTCGCTCGCTCTCTCTTGCGTCTGGGAAGCTGCAACAAAGATCCTGCGCTGGCCGCAGCGACCTTCCGAGAGAATACCGGAGGCATGTCGGGCAGAGCTGCCAGAGCTGCGTGCGCCAAGATCAGCATCTGAGGCCCATGGCCCACACTCCCAGGAGCAGTGGAAGTGGCAGCAGCAACTTGGCGAGCGAAGAGGGCAGCTCCTTGGCACTTGGGATGTTAGGCACTTAACTTGGGGTGTGGGGTACTTGAGGAGACACCTGTAGTTTGAGGCTTTGGGACTGGAGCCGCTTGCTGCGCAGTTGGGGTTATTTCCTGCGGACAATTGCAGAACTCTGCCAAATGCCGGGTTGTTAATGGGCTGTAACATTGTAACACAGTGAGCTCGAAGCAGGGGAGTGCTACCAATGCCACACATGCGCATCGCTGAGTAGCCCCTGCGCCAGGAGGAGCGCAGCCCATCGTTTGATTTTGCGCTGCCGGATGCACGCGTGAGACATGAGACGGCGCCGCTTTACTCTTGCTCTTCGGCTTCTTCTCTCAGGGCTTGAAGAGACCCGTGCATCTGCAAGCTCCGGCGTTGACATGTACAGGCTCCGGGGCACATCGCGCCCAGCCGACCAGCAAGGCAGAAGCAGCCGCTGCGTGAAACGTGAAGTGGTAGATGCTCACAACCCAGCATCTTCTGTGTAGCTCACACCACACCCTCTAGCCCGAAGCCTTCACCCTAAACCTACTGGCTCTTAGAAGGGAATGAGGGAACCAGGTACCCTGCACAATCCCTTGGAGGGTACTAAGGGACTGTAAGGGTACCTGATTTACCTGATTCCCTCATTCCCCACTCAGAACCAGCAAAACAGCAAAACCCCGTCGCCACGCAAACCTTCTACCAGCACTTGTCGGGAGCTCCGCGGGTGCCAGGACCGCAGGTGCCTGAGGATGGGTTTAGGGTTTAGGGTTTAGGGTTTAGGGTTTAGGGTTTAGGGTTTAGGGTTTATTGGTTTAGGGTTTATAGAGTTGAGGGTTTAGGGTTTAGGGGGATTCATGAGGGCAATAAGGGATGCCGAAAGGGTGATTGGCAAAAGACCCTTGGGAATTTGGGGATGTTTGGCGTGAGTCTAGAGAAGTGAAGGGATCGTGAAGATCTTTAGCTCATGATGTCGGTTCCAGGTGTGGGCACAGGGGTCTGGAATTTTGTGACTTCGGAGGCCGGCATTCATTTAAGACTTACTCCCAAAACTGTTCTGGACCAAGTTGTTCGTGGTGGCCGCACATATGATTTGGCACGGAATTGTACCTGTTGACGCGGACACTGTTGTGCCTTCAATGCAGATCGGACTTCGCGCGGTTTCCCGGTAAGCGATGCATGCCTGAGCTGCAGGCAGCAAGGCTTGTGCGGGCCCAACACCAAACCATGCCATGCTTCGCGTGGTTCCACGCGACAGTCGCAACTGCCCGACAGCAGTCTTCACGTCATGCATTCACATCTGCGTGACTGCGTGGCGTTTCGTGTTTAGGACTGGCTCTCAGCTCAATGTTGGCATAAACTACAAGCTGAACTGTCTGAAACTACCACCGCAGGGCCAAGACACTGGAGGCCAGATCTTTGTGTCCTCAGATTCTCTGCACATGACTGTAAAACCTTCGGAAAGAACGGAGCAGAGCCGCCTGCACCTGCAACTTGCAAACAAACGCAGCTAAGTTGCCCATAAGCATGTGTAGCCCACTCCACTGTTGATCTCAAAAATGTTCTTGCAGTCCTTTTGGGTGGACCTTCTTTGCAACTTCTTGTGGACTTGGAATGACTTGGACAGCTGAGCTTGGCTTCTGAAGGCAAAACAGACTTCGAAGCTGAGCTTTGGGCTTTCCACAGTGGGAGACATGCTTCAGCTTCGAGCAGTTGATCTGCGAGGAAGGCATCGTCGCACAAGCTCTGCAGCAGCTTTCCGTGTTTCCGTGTCTCTGCAAAGGCCACAGGCCTGCTTGTACGCGTGCTTTGCCTTCTCACCTTAAAGCATCACCGACTCAGTAGCTCGTGCCCATGCCGCCAAGCTCAAGTCAAGGTGTCCGATATGCGCTTCCATGGCAATCGTTTCATGATGTACCAGGAAGTCAGGTCACGCTGCGTAGGACTTGACTGCGGCAGGTAGTCACCCTGAGTTGTCCAGTCACGTCCTCGGCACACAAGTACACGCAACGCATGGCTCAAAAACACGCGGGAGGCAGCAAAAAGACGGATCTCACTCACTACGCAGTCGCTACCTTGCTCCAACATTACGTGGTCAGACTACAGCAGTTTCGAGAATTGGAACAGCTGCATAGCCCCGTATGGGTTTCGGTGGCAAATGTAACCACCATAGCGGCTATCTGCGCAGCTATCTGGTACCAGTAGTGAAGTAGGGAGAGAGCCGTGGAGCCAAAGCAAACAGAAACGAAACGAGATAGGGGGGGGCAGGATTGCATGGGAGATGCTCGCAGTTCTCGGCGCGTCCTATAGGTGGACTTCGTGTGTGCTTGAGCAGTGGAATGCTTGCTCTCGCAGAGCATCAGTTGTCAGACAGACGGAGGGGAATGAGCATGGCACAACCCTGCTAGAGAAGCAGCAAAAATAATAAAGTGGCATGCTGACAGCAGGGGCGGGAGCAGCACTCATAATAGGCAGCACGCAGCATGCACATAGGGAGAGCTCGATCTGCAGAAAAAAAGCAATTTGATGCCAGTGCCAGGCGTCGGTGGGTCGGGCTGATAGGGTTTGGCGCTCTGGTGTCTTCACTGCCAATGCCATCCTTAGTTCAGTTTGCCCACTCTCGGCAGTCTCTGTGCGCATCGGCTCAGTCAAACCTGTCATACCCAGCAAAAACTATAAGCCAGGTGACTAGTAGGTCCTTCCAGCTACTGCGGCCACTCACAAGCCGCCCATGCCATGACTGTCCTGTAAAGCCTTTTTCAAAGGAGCCCTGACAACACTGTACCAAAAGTCCCAGCAAAATCAGTGACGTGCCTAGACTTGACCAAACTGCACAGGCTACAGCACCCTACCTAATTCCCCTCAACGCCTTTGCTTCCTACGAAGGCAGTGCCCCAAGTTGCGAACCCCTCTTGGCAAACAACTGAAAAAACTTGGTACCATGAAGGGTTTCGGGGCACTCTGGATACGCAAGTGCTAAGGTGTCCACCCATGATTCGCAGTACTGCGAGTTTGGGTTCTTCTTCGCGGATGCACGACATGCGCGTTGCAAAATGTTGTGAATTTCCTGCCGTAGCTTCCGGTCTTTCGAGACCGATTCATGCATGAATCGAAACTTTTCCAAGATGCTTCATCGGAGTCCGTCTTTGCTGCATCCGGCACGTACGTCTCAGAGTATGAGGGCTTTTGTTCCTGCACTTGGTTGCAACAATGAGACACCATGAGCCCAGGCACAGGCTAGACCAGAAATCGCCGGGGAGTCCTTCTGGTCGACTTGCACAGATCCATCCGTCTGCACCACTAGTGCTTCTTGCGCGTTGCCCTCCTGTCCGCTGCAAGGCTTTCAGGCGCATACACGTGCAGTTGAAGCTCGATGAGGTCACTACATCACGACAATGCAGCATGCGGCTCTACACGGCTCAGCATAGGCACTGCCAACATTCACCAATCTTGACGTTTTTTCCTGCGCGTCTGATCCGGGCTTGGTGCCCAACTGCCTGTCCCGTGGAGTGCTCTGAGCGAATCAGGGACCACGCTCCACTTGGCTCCACAACACACATGCCACCGGCACCGTTTCACAGGTCGGACGGCAAAGCAAAATCGAGATGGGAAAGTGTTTAAAAGTCACTTGACCCCGAGTCGCTGTGTTTCCGCTCGGCGGTAGCATCATGAATCATGGGGTTCGCATGGGATGTTCCCTTGGGGATGCTTGCCCAAATGCTGCTATACGTTTATTTCCTGTCTACTGCAGAAGCAGGGAGGCCGTTTTGATCAACATCATCTGCTATGTCAGGCGCACTGGTACAAGAGCGCCTCGACAGAAACTAGCCGTAACTAGCCTAAGTAATTGACTAACTCGACCATGCCGGTGATGTGAACGGTCTCCAAGCTTCGGCTGTTGCACTGCAAGTTGTGCAGGTGCAGAAAATCAGTGTCAACGTTGCTGACAAGCGATTGTCGTGTGCAGGCGAAGAACTGGCTTGCTTTGGGCTTGTAAAGCTTAGTTCTGAAGAACATGCGTGGAAGGTTAGACCGCAGCCGTCTTTGCGGGCTTCTCCATGACAGCGTCCCGCCGCAATGATTTATTACTCTATTTGGTGGAAGCCCACTCTAGGCACTCGAACGGTCAGGCTTCAGCATTTGGATCTGCTTACTACACCCCAAAAACCCTCATTGGAGATACTTCGCCCACGTCTGCGCATTTTCTGCAGCATGGTCTGTCAACGTTCTTGGAGCTGCTGATCTCAGCACAGCAGCCCAGCAAGAAAACAAGCATGACAAATTGGCAGCAAAAGGTGTCGTGCCAAGATCGAAGACACGACGACACAGAAAAATCAAGCAAAAACACCGCAGAGTCTGCGAACGCTCATCGTCAACCAAATCTCATGACCTTCGGGTCTGACAAGGTTGTCCTCGCACGACCAGAGAATTATCTTTGAAGTTCTGAGCTTCAGGTTTCTAATTCGGGGTTTTGGCTCGGGGGTGAAGGTTCCGACTCTCCCGTCTTGCACAGACGAGTGAGGATCGTGGTTCCCTCTTGCACAGACGGGTGAGGATTGTGGTTTCCAAGGTCTTAGCAACGACTCAGGGGTTGAGAGTTCGTTGAGAGCTCAACGGACTGTTGTCACTCTCATCTCCCAGAAAGGTTGCAACGGTTTAGGGTTGAGGGTTTCGGGTTTAGGGCAACGAGCCTACTTACCAACAGAGGTCATGCGCGATCCCTCAACCCCAGCCCCACCCGGAGCAGCCCTGAACCTCATGAGGAAGAGAAGCTTCGATCACAAGGTACAGCCAAACCACCCCGTTTAGGGTTTAGGGCTTTCCTTTTCAGGAGTCTTCACGTCCCTCAAATGAGGCTGAGATGTCCAAGCTGCGATGACAAAGTACTCGACGGCGGCATGGTGGAAGTACCGCAATGATCTGAAGTCCGTGGCTCCAAGAAGGAAAGCGTAGCCCCTTGGCCACCATGATCGTGATGCTGCACACTTTTAGGGTTTAGGGTTTAGGGTTTTGCTTCTGGTTTCTGTCGTCCGGGTTGGGAGGGGGAGGGGGTGGAGGGGGGTGGGAGGATGACTTTAACATCCGTTCCTACCTCGACCATGCCCAAACAACTGGCACTTACAGCGCTTTTTGCCTCTTTGCGCAACATGACGAAAAAAAGGAAGTTTGCCGTTTATGAACAAACGCGCAGTCACAAGCGTTCATGTCTTTTTTGAACCGAAAAGACTGGTTTTTGCAGCCTTTTCGCCTCTTTACACACCATCATGCAAAACCAGATGTTTCATGTTTTACGCTTCTGGAACAAGACGCGCCGTCACAAGCGTGCATGTCTTCTGCAAACATGCCAAAACACTTGTATTAACGGCGTTCTTGTTTCTTCCACAACATACTGCACAGGGTTGTTTGCCGTCACAAGCATTCACGCTTTGTTGAGCATGCACTGTGACCACTCATCTACCGAAAAACAACCAACTTCTTTAGATCAGTAATGGCTTTCTACGAAAAGAGCACATTCCAGAGCCACGGAACCACCAGGGTACTGGTGTGCGCGTAACCTAGTTGGGCAATCTTTTTGTTGAGCTTTACCGTTGGTTTCGGCTCTTTTGCCATCCGCCCGGCATGGCCTCTTGGGAACGAGTCCTCAAACCGAAGATCATCACGAACAAATGTTGCAGCACCCAAGATTTGACTTTACCGAGAACCCCTTGAAACAATAACTAGTTGACTTTGTAGAGGAGGGGGGGGGGCTTAACTTCAGTGTGTGAGCGCACAAACCCCGATGGGTGCGATGGGCCTAAGGCCTACCTTTCAAGATGTGCACGGAGTTGGAGCTTGCAAGCAGCTGAATTTGGCTGATGCTGCCAGTTGACCCACTTACAAGGCCGTAAACCAACGGATTGTCCATACCAGTGCCTGCCACATCTGGCAAAAGGACATGAAATCGGTGGAACAACAACATGCCCCATGCCAGAACTCACATCGCTCATGAGAAGTGCCAATGCGCAGTGGACATTTCGGCGTGCGAAATCTATGGCATGTCAGTCTGAAGTGGCGGCAATGGTGTATCGGAGCTCCGAGTTTCTAGCAACTCGCGCAGGCCGGCCTGCCACGACGTGGTTCATGCCCCATGTGAAAGCCTGGGCGCACGAGGCTGCTTGAAAAACAGAAGCGACTTCTGCGAAGGCACGAAGGTTCGTGTATCCTCTTCTGTCAGCATGGACAACAGTGATCTGTTTCGATTCAGCCGTCGTTCCCCATCCGCACAGCCCAGCCTGCAAAGAGTTGTTGTTGTCAGCCATGTACACCTCTCGCCAGGAGACTTCCTCACTGATGCCCAGCCTCGGTGCATCAGCATGCCACGACACAAGTATGTGAACAGTCATGGATGCAGTCGCAGCCTAAGCTCCCTTTTGATTCACTTTTTGTCGCGCAAATAATAAGGGTGTCAGATACTAACACCAAGGGGCAAAACAGAGAAGATGATCTTCAAACCATGGTCCTTCCGACAGCCAGCACATAGCAGTGCAAATGGAACTTGAATGTTGCGGGGGGCCGGTGGGCTCCGCGAATCATTGGAACATCTGAGTCCGAAGGAGCTACAAAACTTGAAACTCAACACACTCTGCCGTGTCCTCTGACATAAAGTTGGTGAAGCTCTCGCTCTGCTTCCTCAAGAGCAGAACTGGTAGACCAAGTCAAGCCACAAGAAACACATGCTGTGCTCATGGACAAGTTGTTTCTTCCTTCTGACTGGACAAAGTACAACAGGAGATGGCATGATGGAACGCAGGACTAGTTTGTTCTACCTGCTACCTGCGAGTGGGTGCACGGCTCTTAACCCAGCCCTACGAGCAGGACCCGGCCCAACGCCGAAAGAAGAAAGGGTGGCAGCAGCAGAACTGCTCTGGTTGCTCGACTGGTGGCTCCAAAGCGCTGACCGTGGCCGCGACAGCCGTGAGCAGTAGCAGCGTGTTCACAGTCTTGGCCCCGGCAGGTGCAAAGCTTTGACAAAGTCTTCCTTTGGACTTCAGCTTGGAAATCTCATTGAAAGCTTAATTAAAATCTTCCTTCCTGTGGGCTAGTGGGGGCCCCAGGATCACCGGTGAATTGATTCTTATTCCGCCCTTGTTCACGCGATTGCTGTACTCTACTCATGTGACTAAGATGCAGCCAGCGAGAGTTGCACTGCCTTGCAAACGTCCGAGGCCGCAACCCGGCGAATAACTTTTCTCCAGCCGGACCTGAAGGCTGCGCAAATGCTGGCCAAGCCGTCGCGCAAAGTATTGTAACCATCCGGCCTTCCCTTCGGTAGTATAGAAACTAAGTCCTTTCTTCGAACCCGCAATGCTTTGTAAGTACTTGGTCATCCAGTCACTTCCTCGTCTGAAAACCTCGACCCAGAAGGCCAAGTCGGATGCACTGACTCTGTTTCACTCCCCAGGCCTTCTCTGGAATCGTTTGCCTCCCTTGAAAAATTCTGTCTTGGAGTTGCACTTCCATTTCCGGCACACGTGATTTTGGGGCAGGGCCAACTACAGTCCCTGTCATCTTATTGAAGAACAGTGCGTTGACACCGGGGCATTCCCAAGCAGCTGGCAGTTACCAGTCTTAGTCGCTGGCTCAAGAGCAGATGTTCGCAGACACCCTTTCAATGCCACACGCCAGTATCTCCAATGCTTCCGGGCACTGATGCGTCAGGCAGCATCTGGCATTCAGGCAGGGCACCTGCGCACTGCGGTTTCACTTTCTGCCGTACTGAAGGGGCTGCTAACGGTCTCAACGGCCCGAAAATGCTCAAAGTTCCGAGTAAACTTCCTTAGCAAGGCCCTAAACCCTAAACCCCAAACCTGGAGCGCCCAGCTGGTGCCGGTGCCGATGGGCTGGGGTGTTGTGAAAGCCCTCAGGCGGGATTGAACATGCCAGCGTTTTGGTTTAGGGTTTAGGGTTTAGGGTGTAGGGTTTAGGGTTTAGGGTTTAGGGTTTGGGGTTTGGGGTTTGGGGTTTGGGGTTTGGGGTTTGGGGTTTGGGGTTTGGGGTTTGGGGTTTGGGGTTTGGGGTTTGGGGTTTGGGGTTTGGGTTTAGGGTTCTTTTTGCAACCTGCAGGGAGGGATGCGGGGTTGTCTTAAGCCAGGGCCTTACTTACATCAAGAATCCGACTATCACGCGGTTCATGCGTCAGGGTTTAGGGTTTAGGGGAGCCTGATTTAGAAATTCCCTATATAAAGAGCAAACTGCAAGTACAAGTTGGCCAGGACTCCAGGCTTTCATTCCCAACTCTCTCCTGGCACGGCCCCCTTATGACTGGCTTGATGATGAGATTCCTTATACACGGGTCCCCCAATCTGGGGCTGTAATGAAGTGAAACCCAAAAGGCCCACTTCGCTCGCAGATCAAAGCTGCAATTTCACTTACCTGTGTGGTCCCTCATGTTGAAGTGGGCGGCGCAAACAGCTGTCAAATGCACTTATCCGAAATTCCATCTGTATGTCTAGAAGTGACATGATGGGTATGCCGCCATATTTCGCCTGCTTCCTGACCTTGCCAGTGGATGGTTGACAGCACCGCCTCCAATTATTGACCCAACCGTCCCAAGCTGAAGTGATGTGGCAATCAGGTGCCCTAAACCCTAAACCCTCTTTGCAGCAGGCTTTGGAAGGTTGCGCCCGGACCCTAAACCCTAAACCCTAAACCCTGAACCCTAAACCCTAAACCCGACAAGCCAAGAGGCAGTATGGCCAGCCCGCACAGAAGTTGCACGGTGGCCGAGGCAATGTTCCGGTAATACTCTGGGTTCGGGCGTGTCTCAGACCTGGCAGTACAAGGTCGACACACTTACAAACCTTGAGGGCCACATGAACCGTAAAACTTTTGGGATCATATACCCAATAGTGACCCTACAAGAATTAGAATTACCATACTTACTACCATGCTTCTTCAGGTGGTGGGACCTGAACCCCTTCCGGATGCGTCTCCCAACAGCATCCATAGTTCTTTTTTGGGTGGTGCCGAGCCAAGCAGCAGAATTGGGAATACCTCCTGCAAGCCCACCTCAGCATTTCTCATCCGAGCTTGAGGGCTGCAGTACCTACATGTGCAACTTTTCCGTCAAAGGCACCAGCTCGAAATGGTGCACACAGTCTATACTATATAATTCTATATACCCCTCCAAACCTGAAAGAGTCCAACCCTAAACCCTAAACTTGGCCCTAAACCCTAAACCCTAAACCCTGAAAGAGCCCAAGCGCAGCCATCCCGACATTCGGGAACCGAGCTTCGGCCCACTTGTGCGCTCTGAGTGGCAAGGATAACGTTGCGAAAGGGATTTATGGCGTAGATCAGGTAGCTCCTGTGTGTTGAGCACCACGTTTTCGGTAGTCTGGCGGGTCGCAAAAATCTACAAATTTAATCGTAAGCCGGCCAACTCACCAGACATCAGCCCACAAGCGGTGCTTCCAGAAATAGGTCTTGGGTCGTGGCTGAAGATTATCCAATCCCAACCGAGTTTCGGTTTGCGCGCGACCAAGAAGGAGGCCACAAAGAGCAAGCCGATGGCATCCGAGGGCTGAAGCTCGTAGGCGTGAGGGGTGAAGATGGACAGTTCCTGACCTGAGTTTGCTCAGTCCGGGAAAGCCATGCCCGAAGTCTCTCTGGGCTCTCCTAGGCCAGGGCTCACGTACCAAAGCATGGGTGCAGCGGCGGAGTTTGCTGTCTCGAGTAAAATGCCCCCTATACCCACTCAATTTCAGAGATCCCAAATGATGCGAGGCCAGCGGCTTCTGTACACAAAGTAGACGACGGTCATAGCCTTAGGCGTCGGGGCCAGGGGGGGGCCAGCTTCTGCAAGGTTCCGGAGTCTTGGAGGGACGTGGACTCCCGAAGCCGCTTGAGCATACTGCAACACATAACTGTCTCTCCGTATATACATATATATATATATACGCATGTGTACTATATATACATATATATATATACACATATGAAGTAGGGTTTATATTTCTTGCACCCCCCCCCCCCCCCCCAAAAAAAAAAAAAAAGAGGACACCCGGTATATACACTCACCAAGATTAAAAAGGAACCTTATATACACTCACCAAAAACAGTAATATACACGCTGTTTCATATACTGTTGACATGCTGCGAAAAAATGATCAGCTTCTTCTTTGCCACATTGCCTGCCACTGTCGCTTAGCAAGCAAGCTCAACAATAGCAGGGAAGAGGCCAAGTACCACCCCATTGCAATGCGATCTTTCAGCTGCGGCGGTTGTGCCGATGCCTTCCCCTCCTGCAGCATCGGAAACAGAGGCTGCGGCTGTGGACAGGAGGACATGAACTTGCAACCCATGAGCCCAGGGCCTTCTCCAATCCAGCTTCGTCCTGCACCATGCAAGACAGGTTCTTACACCTGCATCCAGCTCTGAGAAAAAAGTTCTGGGACGCAAGATGCTTGGCCCTGGAACCCTACCCTAAACCCTAACCCTGTACTCTGTATTGGCCCAAATGGAAACTCAAGGTTTCAAGTTTGCATCGGCCCGAAAACAGAACTCAAGGTACCAGTATCAAATCGAGCCGTCAAGTCTGCATCCGCCCAAAGGAAACTCGGCTGCCCAGCACTATCCGAACGGGACAACCTTCGGTTGGTATTTTGATTCGGACCCCCCAAAAGTATACATAATATCTACATATATATACACATAATATCTATAAACTGTGAAGTCGACCAGCACTGGACTTGCACTAAGCCAATGCAATCACAGCCCGGTCACGCTGTTTTACGACTTCGCGAGTTCAAGCACTTGTGCAGCTACGCCTGAGTGCGTCCGGTCGGACCGCACAGCAACCTAGGAGCTACTGTACGACTCTACCGTGCTCAAAGGCACAAGCTCGGTACTTGAGCCAAAACATTGGCATTGTTACGAATTGCAAAACTACACATGCAAGGGAAAACTACTACAAGCTGCACTAGCACTAAGCAAGCACTCCATGCATGCTTTGACCTGCTCACATTCGCCCCTCAGCCGAGGCTTCCGGCTCACCAAGAGCTCATAGTGCGTCAAGCACTTCAGCAACGCGGCAAATGGGGTAGGGTGAGGGTGTCGCGTGCGACTCTGGTAGAGCCCGCACATCATGAGCATTGGCATGCGGCTTGGGCGGCAGCCCGCACTACCGGACGGACGCACGACGACAGCAACCCTCCACGACCCTAAACCACCCCAAGTCGCGAGCTCTCACCTTTGTGCAGACAGGCGAGGCTCCAGAGTACTGGGCAGGTCTTTGTGCTGCTAGTGCAAAGCTATGGTACAAATGGTACACTGTACACTACCGGTCCTAAGCTACGGCTACGGCTACTCACCTATCCAGAACTACCCTACGGGCTACCAGACTCAGCGAGAGCCGCGCACATGGCTTGTGCCGCAGGCAATGCAGCTCACACGCGCTTCGGCGAGCGCATTGCCGCGACCAGGACACGGTCCGCAGCAGCCGCAACGGGCTGAGAAGAAAAGTGCGGGGTAGGCAAAATGGGCAGGGGAAACCCTGCCGCGGCTCTTCGCCCGCTAGCAAAATACAATCAAAGAGGCATGACAGCGTGCCGCGCTGTGACGCCTAAGAAATCGCGTGGAAACGATTCCACGCTGCGCCGACTGGCCGCAGCCTACTCGATACCCTGTGGAGCAGTGTTGGGGGCACGAGTAGCGATGCCAGCAACGTTGGAGCTACTGGCTCGCTCCAACTGAGGGCGCCTTGCGACCGCCTCATCGAGGGAGAATGCCTCAGCCGACACCCTCTGGAAATCCTCGATGTAGGACTGCGCGACCGGGTGCGTCTTGGGGACCTCAAGCCTAAGCCCTGCCTCCGCATTGGCTTTGCTGCTTGTGGTAAAATTGAGGCTCCCAATCAGCACCACCGCGCCATCAGGCCGCAGTAGGCAAAGGGCCTTGGCATGGTGAAGCCCTTGGATACCGGTACCTACTTTAGCCCCGCGGCCGTCGCGAGCATAGGCGTCGCGCACGGATGTGCCGCAACCCACCTTCACCTCGGCGCCTGCAGCCGCCAAGCGTTTCAACGCTTGCCACTGCAGTTTGGTGCGGTGGCATTGTCCCATATCGGCGACAATCCGAACGCCTGCGCCCTTGCTAAGCGACGCTTCGATTGCCTCGATGCAGGATGGGCAATCTAAGCTGTACGCCCGGATGTAGATCACATCCTCTGCTGCTCCAGACCCAAGCAGCGTTTGGGCGGCCTGAGCGTATGGCCCGCCCGCAAGGAATTCCGCTTCTCTGACTGGAGAACTCCTAGCGGGGACTGGGCCCTTGTTCCTCCGGCTGGGTGTGCGCGCCACAGTGGCAGTGGCGGCACGTTGCACGAAGCCGGACTGTGCGTGGGCTGCGCTCGCTCCATCTGCTGGGGCCGCGGCCAGGTCACGACCCGCGAGCCCCTGAAAGCAGGAGAGCCCGCGGCTCTTGGCCGCAAGTTGGGAGAAGCATCCTTCACTGTTCCCCAAACCCAACACAACCTTACCCTTAGCTAGGGCTTCGGAGGCGGTACTCCGAATGGAGTCTGTGAGCGCAGGACCCGCGCCTCGCTGGGCCGCGTGCAAAAACCCTAGGGATCGAGCGGTGTCCATTGCGGCATCGCAATGCCCGCAGCGTCCCTCTGCTAGGTAAGCACGACAGCCGCAGGCAGCTGTCTCCTCCTTGAGGTGCACCCAAACTTTATGGGTCACCCCTTTCTTAGTGCTCGCGACCTCAAACGTCGCTTCAGAGCCAAGGAGTTGAGACAGCCGCGCCTCAGGGGCCGCGGTGTTGCCATGTCGCAGATGCGCAATGCGATTGGCAACGGCACGACTCACGTACCACAGAACAGCGCTGCACAAGATCACTACTACCAGAGTGATGGCTGTTCCGGCGACCCACACGGTCCGCCTGGCCCCATGACCGATTTCCTCGACCACGTCGGCCGAAATTGTTGCAACCGCGTGCATGGAGTCCTCGACAACATGCACAGCCCCGCGGTGCAACTGCAAGGCAATCGGCGCCGACGCTGCAGCCGCCAGGCCCCACCAGCCGTTGATGTTCCCGTTGAGGGCGTGCATCAACCGATTGAGGAGCCCGCGACCCAGGAAAAAGGGGGTCCGCGGCGGAAGCGGAACACTCGGCGGCGGCCGGGCCGACCCGCACGGGAAGGCTGGGACCCAGCTTGTGCTTGGGCGGGGTTGGAGCGCGGCAACTATGCCCGCGGCGTAAGCGCCCCAGGCGTACCTGCCCCTCCCCTTGGGCTTGCCCTTGGCATCGGACTTGCCTCTGCCCTTCGGCTTGCCCTGGCCCTTGCCACGGGCATCTGCCCAAGCACTCCAAGGGTCGCGGCCCTTGCCGTACGTCGCGTCTTCGCGACGTCGCTTACCGCCCCTCTTCTTGTGTTTGTTTCTAAGAAGAGGTTGGATGGTTTCTTGGTCCATCGCACGATTGGCCAGAAGGATCTCGTGCTCCAGCTCGTCCTGGCTGCTTTCGGAGCCAGAGTTCCTCTCTTCGCCACGCCGCGGATCAGGGATCCCGCGAGAGACGACCTCTGCCAAACGGAGAGGGGTGCTGCAGCGAAAGCACAGCTGCCTGAATGAAAGATTCCATTCATAGCAGTTAGGGCACTGCCACCCTGCAATGCGGAGCGCTTCGCTGATGTGATCATCGCGCTCCGCCTTCTCCGCCTGGCGCCGCTCTCGCTTCTTGGCGCGCTCGGCCGCCTGCGCCTCCTCGGCCGCCTGGAGGGCTTCAGCGAGTTCCTCATCGCTGAGAAGCCTCGCGGCATCCGCCCGCGCTTGTTGTTCTTCAAGCTCTTCGGCAGAAAACCTCCGCCTCCATTGCTCTGGCGCGGTTTGAGGGTCTACCTCCCACCACCCGATGTCGATCCCGTTGATCCATCGGCCGTCGCACGGGGCACCCGCTTTCGGGCCGCCCGCGTGCGTGGTGAGGCACTGGTCCTCGGTAACCGGGTTGATGGCTTCGCAGAAGAAGCACCGCCAGCTGCCGTAGGGGTAAAAGCGGCCTTCGACGTAGGCTCGGTTGGCTGGGAGGGCGACATCGTCCGCCTCATCCGCGGTGCCTGCCTCCATCTCAACCGAGACCTCCTCGTCCTTGACAACCTCAGCTTCCTCCTCCTGTTCCTCCTTGACCAGGGGCTCTTCTTGCTCCCGGCCAACGTTGAGGTGGGACTCAGTGCGAACCTCGGCGCGCATCAAAATGACGTCAAGGCTATCCGCGGCTGGGTCGCCCGCGAAGAAGGAATCGATCTCCTGGGCATGGAGATCGTCAAGAGGCGTCACCAGGTCTGGCGAGTAATCCCGCTTGGAACGACGCTCCGCAAGGCGTTGCTGAACGTCGCTCGTCGGCGGCCCGAGGGCCCGCCCGCGCGGAGCGGCCTCCCGCGGAGGTCCATGCTCGGCCTCCTCCGTGGGCTCGCTCTTGGGCGTGGACCCTCCACCGCTACTCTCTGGAGCGGGATCCAGCTCGGGGTCATCGCGAAGCCACCCCGGTGGATGACTACCACCATAAATGTGGTGCGATCCGTCCTCAAGCTGGATTCGGTCCCCTCTCTTCAGGAGCGGGACCTTCGAGTGATCGTACCCGTTGGCTTTGTGGTACCGAATCACTCGGAGCATGGGCACCTCCCCATACCCACCGTCCTTTCCTCGGCGGAACAACCGTCCCCGCCAGTCTTGACGAAAAGGGTCAAGAGGTGCGGAGGGGCTGATCCCCAGGTTGGGCGGAAGAGAGGCGCCATGGCAGGCCGCCTGATGCAAGTGGTATTGC